TGCATGTTCCTATAATTGGGTTTACGACCAAACCTATAAATCGATAACTGATCCAAAAACTCAAGAGTATAAAATTATTGACTCCAAGCAACGACAACCCAGAAGCTGTCTCTCATTTCAAAGAGGAAAGGACAGGTTCTTTACATTTCATTTTATGGTTAGAGACAAAGCGAAAGAGAAGTAGCGGTAATTTTAAGGATTCCCAAGGAAAACATATCTCGTTCATATGATCAAGCCGCCAAAAAAAGAAGATGATCGTATCTTAGCTATCACTAGAGATTTTGAGTTGGGTTGATTTAGGAATGCATGTTAATCAAAGATAATGGGAAGTTGGGAAACTGAATTAGTGAAATTAATAAGATTAGGGGAGCTTTAATAATGACAATTAACGATATATTAATTGAGGTCAATTATACACGAAACCCACTTACGTGGCAGTCTAGGGAGAAGCGCAGTTAACTAAAATTACAAACTTTAAAATAATATTAATGAAATTGAAAAAAGAAAAGAAAAGAAAAGAAAAGGAAAAACAAAAAACAAAAACAAAAACCATTTCTTCCTTCCAATATTGGGGAGACGCTCTTTAATCAAAGTTCACAACCACCCCCTTCTTCAATTTCCCTTCTCCGCCTCCAGAATTCCGCCGGCCGATTTCCGATGACCGTCTCCGCCTTGTATTCCGTCTGCTTCTGCCCTTGATTGCAGGTTCTAGAGCAGAGCGCCGGCCGTTTCGTTGTTTTTTTTTTTGAATCTGCGACGATGAGTGCCGGCGCGGCGACGTTCCGGTCTATACTTGACAAACCCCTCAACCAGCTGACGGAGGATGACATTTCGCAGCTCACTCGAGAGGACTGTCGCAAATACCTAAAAGAAAAAGGTTTTTTTCTTTTCTCTTCTTCGTTTCTTCAATTTCCAGTTTTCTTCGTTTCTTCCCTCCATTTTTTCCGGCGCCCCCAAATCACGGAAGCTTCCACTCTCTTTCCTCATCTTTTATTTATTTCATTTTTTTGCTCTTTAGCGGGTTCGAAGGAATGATTACGATTTTTTTGGTTTTATTTTTAATTTTTTTTTGTTTGTGTGACTACACGTGTCGGGTCAGGAATGCGGCGGCCCTCGTGGAACAAATCTCAGGCGATCCAGCAGGTTATTTGTCTGAAAGCATTGCTTGAACCTTGTGATGATTCCGGCGCCAGTGCTCTCAGGAAGGTCGCCGTTTCGCCTCGGGTGAGTTTTGGTTTTAATCTTCTGTTTGGCTGCTGACAGAAAAGAACAAAAAAGAAAAAGAAAACCTCCCCCAAATGTTCTTTTTACTTACTGAATGGAGGGTTTTCTTTGATCAACATTTTTCCTTTCTGGGCATATTTGTGTGTGTTTTTCAAAGTAATTAGTGATGTTATTGAATGATGTTTGTGTAGGTGAATTCAAATCAAGGCGGTTCACCCAGGGAACCGAGTGATGATGCTCAGGTTACGATATCAGTTGATGAATCTGCGTATAGCAATATGGAGACTGCAAAATCTACTCCTGAGGATCCACCGGCTGTACCAGACAACAAGGTCACTAGTCCCAGGTCTACTTCTTCCCTGTGATCTGCTAAGAATGCTTGCTTTCAAAATCTATGAATGAACTACAGATCCTTGTTTGCTTTCAAAATCTATGAATGAACTACAGATCCTTGTTTAGTCATAAATACTAGGCATGGCAGAGAACTTGGGAATTAAAATATGTGCAGATTCAAAAGAAAATGAAGCAATGAAACATAATCAATTTGAATTCGGGATATCTATTCAAAATCTTAGTGAAAGACTGGATTTATTTTCTTAGGTTTGGTTTTTACGAAAAAAATACTAACTGGAACTAATCCTGCTAGCTTAATCTTAATTTAAATTCACTTGATATATTTTCATGCTATGAAAGTTCTTGAGCTCAAACTTGCTGGCCTATTTGTTATTCTTGCTATGTGGCTTGGTCTGATGGAATATGACAATAATTTTCTGCGTGTTTTTTGTTTACAATTCGAAAACTGCCCGATGCTAGATTATTCACTCGAAATCTTAGTGATTTTGCCATCTACGAAAAACATTCTGGAATTCTGCTTTGTTGAAGGTTATACAGGCATTTTGTAGAGGATTTATAATCTTGATATGATTCCCTCTTGTTCTTTCTTCAATAAAATTTGTACTAACTGAAAGGAGATGACGAATATTTTAATGTTTGACAGAGATCAATGTGATACAAATGGAATGGATGGCCAAATGACAATTTTCTATTGTGGCAAGGTGAATGTGTATGATGGAGTTCCAGCAGATAAGGTTTAGATGTTATCTCTTTTTTGGATTCTTGAAGAATATTTATTATGGACGTAATCTTTTTTCCCCTCCCTTTCAACATGTTGTAGTCATTTATGGAATTTTTGCAGGCATGGGCAATCATGCATCTAGCAGCTAGTCCAGTTCATTTCCCTCAGAATCACACCATGGGTGGAACTGCTTCATGTCAGTCTCCACCATGTGTTTTGCAGAATGCCAATGAGAGAGATGACTTTTTTCCTCCTAGTGGTACTATCTATCGGAATGTGCATACAGGTGAGTGAGTGGATTATAGCAATTGTGTTGCAAATAACTTTTCATGCTCGGAGATCCCACATTGGTTGGAGTGGAAAATGAAGCATCCTTTATAAGGGTGTGAAAACTTCTCCCTAGCAGATGCGTTTTAAAAACCTTGAGGGGAAGCCCAAAGAGGACAATATCTGCTAGCGGTGGGCTTGGGCAGTTACACTAAAAACTTGTCTATAGCCTCAATTCCACTTTGACTTGGCTCCTTTTTATTGGACCATACTTCTGGCGGGGGTAATTTAGCAACTGTGGGTCTGAAATCTACGTTTTGTGGGTGATAGATAGTTCTTGATTGTGGCTGTTTTCACTTTTTCTTCTGTAGACTGCGTATTCGTTTTTATTTGATTTTGTCCTCATATATCCTGAAAAATAAAGTTTAGTATTGGTGGTAGCTAGTTAAATGAAAAATTCTGCTTTGACTTGACAGAGAAGATGGTTGAGTACCCTCAGCAGCAGCAGCATATAAAAGGAACCAGTACTCGAGATTCTGGTAAGCGTTCCGTTTGCTTGTAATTTTGTTAATTGCATTGTGAAAATAAGAACTCTACATTTCTCTTGTTAGCTAGAAACGAGCACGACTCTGTTCTTCGTGCCAATAATTTCAAATCTGCTTTTATGCGCTTGGACAAAATTTGTTGTGATAATTTGTAATGGTTATAGCTTATGAGCTCCCTTCTGTAAAAGTTCCTGTGTTTTGCTGCTACTAAATTGTTATCTTCACCTCGTGAGCTCCCATTTAGTTTGACCAGTCTCCATACTCATAGATTCCCATAGAAACAATTGATCTAATGAATAGCTTTTCATAAAATATTGTGGATTTTCATATTAGATATTGAGGGTCAGGCGAGTCGGAAAGTTTCATTACAGAGATATCTTGAAAAGCGAAAAGACAGGTACCTTTGACTAAGTTTGTTTTTCAGTTATAAGTCGATAACGATGACGTCTTGCATGGTAGATAAGCTTTGTGGTCTCGGATCTCATTTCGTTCATTTCCCTCCCATCTTTGTGGTTAAATTTCTGTAAGGGGAAGGTTAAAGAACAAGAAAAATACAGGATTGGCTTCTTCTAGCCTGGAGGGGTATATGAACCATCAAATGAGGACGCATATATCCAATAAGAATTTAGGTCAGATTGTGACAAGCTCTTTATCCCCAACTGGAGTAGCAAAAGCCTTCGTTGGAACAGCTGACAATCAGCCAAAACTTGCATGCTTCCCTGTCGACCTTAATGTCAAAGGTAGAGCTGTAGAGCCTTTCTATTAGCACTTCACTTTTTACTGGCATTTATATGCATTTGCGTTGCTTCGTTAAACTTCTGACCTGTTCGATAAGGGTATATGCTTAGCTATGCTTAGGTTGGCACAAGTTATTAAAATTATGCTTCGGGTGTTTTTAGTTTCTAGCTCGAAAAAAGTTTCTTAATGTGACCAAGGAACTCGATATCAGTTTTAGGTGTCAGGATCTGGTTATAAATACCGTAAGAACATAAAAGAAAATTAAAAGATTGTCTTAGCTTGGTTGCTACTTTTCTGCAGATATCCAGGAGTGCTGAGTTGATGACATGCTCTACTTCAGAGATCATCCTTGTGATTAGCAAGAACTTGAGAGAGAAGAGGAGCTAAGTCGAAATGGTTGTCTGTTGCACGATTTGGCTGCTTAAGGAGCGTTATGTAGGCCTTTACTAACCAGTCATGTTTTGGAGATCTTGCGTGGGAGAGGTGTCTATATCCGAACAGTACGAGTATCTCACTCAGCTGATCAATTTTGTAACTCGGACACGGTGCTCGACACCGTTGTTAGGATGATTAGAGAATTTGTTCATGTTTGTGCTGTCAAGGTTTATTGGGTTGAGATGATGATGCAATGTTGGATATGTATAAAAATGAATGCTATCCTTTCTGTGCCAAGAACCTCTTTTTCTGTGTATATTAGGCCGTCACAATCGTATTTTCTCCTGATCCTAATGTTTGTAAGCGGTTGTGCAATACTCATTCTCACCACCACTGAGACCGTAATACTCGACATCCCACTTCAGTGATTCCTTTTAATCATTCATAATGCTCTAGTGCTCTCTTGAGACCTGCTTAGAACTTGAGAATTTACAATTTTAATCTGGGACAAGCTGCAAACACAAACTATGAACGCTAGACTGTATGAAGTCTATGTTATGGATGAAAAAGTCAACTGTTGGAATTTAAAAAAAAAAAAAAAAAAATCTTGATAATAAAATTTTAGTTAAAAAGAATTAAAGAATAAATTTATAATTTTATTTAAAAAATGGTAATCCACGTCAGCTAGAATACTAAGTTGAAAAGAAAACCATTCTTACACGTGGCAGTACCATAGACGCTGATTCAGCAAATTAAGACCCAAAAAAGAAAGAAAAATCTTTGACTCGAATCTTCAAGTTCGACCGGGAGTTTCTGCTCCTTCCGCCGGCCATTGCCTTTAAATTTGGAGTCCGGTGGTTCGTCGGAGCACGTTCTTGACGATTCAACTCTGTGAACAAGTTCAGAGAGCTCGTTCAAGAATGGCCGTTGAGGTGAGTCCACGAACGGAACTTCTTTTTATTGGACATCGACATAAACTCGGAAGATTGATGGAGGAAACTAGTCTTTGCGCAGGCTTGGTACATGAACGATAGCAATGAAGACCAGAGGCTTCCTCTTCATCGCAACCCTAAAGAGTTCGTCTCCATGGACCAGTTAGCAGGTGCTCTTCCGTCCTCTTTACCAAACCTGCTCTAGAGATTTTTGGCTCTTTGATTGAATTGATAGATTTATCTGCAAATTTGGAGTGCTCTACAGGAAATTAAACCCTAAATAATATGAAAACGATGAAGAGTTGAAGAAAATCCGAGAGGACGGGATGCTTCACTAATCCATCGATGTTTTCCATTTCTATTTTTTATTCGAACTTTTTTGGATACGTTTCGTTTTTCTTGAGATGTTGTACGATTTACTTGATATATGCACACAGAAACTTGGTGATTATGAAGAAATTCATTACACTTTGGATGGAACTGACCATCTATTCGAAGATTGTTATTCATGTAAATCTTAGTCAAAACAAAAATAAAATTATTTCATAGGTTACAATCTTCATAGCCAATTTGGACCCCGTTTAACCGACCACAAGGGCAGCATCCAGCAAGGAAAGAGTACCTCAATACCTTCACTGAGAAAGCTGGAGCGCCACTCCAGGCTCATTAAAGACTTGTGTATTCTTCTGTACTACGACAATTAATACATAACTGTGAGGTTTAGCTCAGGCTGTGCATTGTTGGGTATGGCTTAGATTAAATACTATATAAATTTGCCAACTGCTGTTGAAACACGGCTTAATAAATGTCTGAACCTCATATTATTTATGAATTGAGCTTCTCAAAAGAATTGTAATTTGAACCACTTTGGAAAATTATTGACCCCATTTGATTTTATGATTAAACGATAGAGATTTCTTTCTTGCAGGAAAGATATGGAATCTCGAATATAAAATTCTTATAAACTACATTTATTTTTATTGTTTCTACAGGACCCTGTATTTGTGTCGATTAATAATGAAGCGTGTAGTACCTTATCACGAAAGCCTGTTTGATAATGTTTTACAGACTATTGAGTTTGTGTGTCAGATAAATAGTTCAATCATTTCCTTCAGAATACTGTTCTTTGTTATACATGTCAATTATATTCTTCCCTACAGTATTGAGGGGTAGCTATGGTGTTTTTGCTTTAGAGATTATTAACTTTTTTAGTTCTCTTGTTGACCAGAATGTTGCAGGGCTCTTGGAGATCAGAGACTCGTTTATCACTGGAAAATGTCACAAAGCAAATCTCTGGTAAGCATCTTCTGAATTTGCAACATTGATGTTAATTGCATGCTCTTTCTATCCATTCTCGCCAGGCTTTTGATGAATGATCTACATTTTCGACGTCTTGTGCACTTGTATTGCCAAATATTGCAGCTGTTATCATATTAAAATCCCATATGCCTGCTTTACAAACTTCATTTATACCGTCAAAGAGTGCTTCTTCTTAAGTGTTATGAATTTTATTAAAACTGAGTTTGATTCTGTTTGCAGAATTTTGTCATTCAGCAACTGCTGGAGTTAGATTTTATGACAGCGAGGACCTATTTGCTTGGTTTGGTCTAAAAGACTATGCTTGCCAGTTGCTCTTTTCTGCTGCTCAACTGCTCCTAAAAAGTTCAATTATTTCATATTCATCAGAAGGTGAGTTAAAATTGAACAGCAGTTCAAAAAAAAAAAAAAAGAAATTGAAAATATTGTTGAGCGCTAATATATGTGTGTAATAGCTCAAGCCTACTGCTAACAGATGTCCTCTTTGGGCTTTCCCTTTTGGGTTTCCCCTCAAGGTTTTTAAAACACGTCTGCGAGGGAGAGGCTTCACCCCTTATAAAGAATATTTCGATCTCTTCCCCAATTGATATGAAATCTCAAAATATGTCTGTTTTTTCCGATTTGGGGATTTGGGGGGGGGGGGTGGACATAGTAGCTTTAATGCTGAAATTACAGAGTTACCGAGTCGGCACTAGCTTTTCATTGTTCATTTTTATGACTTATTTGGTTGAGGAAGAATGAATTACAGAGGTTTTTGAAAATATAACTATTGCAGTTTTTGAAGGAGACAGTCATCTTTGTAGAAGGCAGTTTGAAGAGAGAATTTCATTAAATGTAGCGTTGTGTCCATGACAGAGCTGGGAACTGAACTGTTTTGCTCATGTCTACAGCAGTAATACTAATAAGTAGGAAGTATCAAATGACGAAAGCTCTAACGTAAAGATAACTTCAAAATGGACAGGATCAAGCAGAAGATCATGAAAACACACCTGGGATGGGAACAATATCATTACCCTGAAGGAGCAACCAAGCTAAAGCCAGCTGAACTGGGATATAACCATGCCTCACAGCTACATTAGCTAGCCTTTGTAGATAAGTTCATTCTGTTCCAAATTCTTCTTGCTGAACCTTGAATGAGATGTCTATTAAACACATCACAAACAAGTATATGGATCAGTTTGTTATGCAATACAATAGAGCGACCATGGCAGAACTTGCACAATAGTCTCCTTTTACGGACCTACCAACGAATGTTCGGCTCAGAGGACTGTAAGTCACTGTCCCAGATCCCTGCAAAACACCCTGGCTTCATCCACCAAGTCATTCAACATATAACTTTGTAAGTTGAACCATTATAAGTTTGGTTTTGAATACTATTTTCGTCCATTTAGTATAAGGTTTCTAATAAGTCTCTAAACATTTTTCGATTTGATATATTTCGTTCTTATACTTTGAAATGAATTAACATTACGGGCCTACTAAACATGAAACTTGAATGTGCTCGAGACTTGCTTCAAAGCACTTCCTTACATATTCAGGTGTTCCATTAACTGCAATTCAAATCCTGCTCATGGCACAATCTCAAACTTTGTAGCTAACTGAATCTTCTCTCCAGGGAGCTGCTTCAAGGCCTGCAAAATAAAATATCTTCAGTCAATTGGTAAGGTCTCAAACACTACCTTTTCAATCGTGATTTCATTGTCATGATCAGGTCCATAATGATCAGAAGAACAAAAAAAAGTTATGCCTTTGATGAAAGCTTGTTTGATATTTTGGTATCCATGTCCATGAGAAAGGGGAACCACTGGGACACCCTGAAAAGCGCTGCACACCCAAAACCCAACCTTGGAACTTGCAAAGGCATAAGGATTTTCACTGTCAAACCAAAAGTTTCGTGTTCTTTTTCAAGTTCCCATTTCTTAAAAGTGATCAATCTTTATCTCTACTCCTTGGCTACCCAGTTTCACTCTGGAGATTTGGATCAGATTTTGGGGCTTTCCCTCCATTTTGAAGATATCAGAGGAGCTTATACTCTGCAGATATTGCAATTTGCTGTGGAATTTTCTTGATGATTGTTTCCCCTAATGGAACTTTTTTGCACCCTTTGATTATTGATAGTGTGTTGAGTTTCTTGTTTCATGACAAAGGAATATGCCATGAAAGTAGCTAAAACTGAACCTCCTACAATGTCTTTGAGGGTGTAAGGTCAATTCTTCCACCTTATGTTCATAATATGTGACCAAAACCACACTACTCCAACCTCTCAGAATAACGTGTATAAGAGGGAGTGAATTCCAATCCACTACTTTTTAGAAGAAACAAAAATGTGTTAGTCAATGAGATAAGTGTCAACTTATTGAACTAATGTCTATATGCATTCGTGGTTCTTAATTTTTCATCAATGAAATATTTAATGGCATCTTTTAGTAACGTTTCCTATAAATACTAAAGTGAGACAAACTTCATTTTCAATAATATATTTTTACCAATATCTGTAAGATTGAAATCTCGATATCGACATTGACATTTTAACCTTGGTATATACCTCGAGATGAAAAAAATCAAATCGGGCCATGTGGAAAAAGATCAGCATTGATATTATTGCAGTCTCCAATCAACTTCACCATTTCCATTTCACACTCTCTTTTAACTCGGTCAACAAAATCTCCACCACTCATTTTCCTTTACCAAAAACTCAAACTTCATAGCTAAATCACACTTCATAAAGTGAAGTTTTCATAGAGAAAGAGAAGGAATGTGAGAGTTAAAAAAGAAGTTAGAAAGCTGAAGAAGCAAAAAACAATGGACCACTCTAAGCCCCACTTGGACTCCAACACTTATTCTTAGTTCATATGAACCAAAAAGCTTTAAATAGTAACAGAGCCCTTTTAGGGTTCTTAGGGGAAACATTTCAACCAAAAAAAATGCTATCTTTTTTCTTTCTTTCTCTCTCAACACCCTACAAAAGGACTGGTTTTTTCCCCTTATTACAGTGTTGTTTGAAAGAGCATTAATGGCAGATACCCTTCAATATATGATATCAACATGCTTATGCCAGTGAAGTTTTGGTCCCAGCAACTCTTACTTTTTTATGCTTTTTAGGGGAAAGATCCTTAATGGTTTCCTCTTCTAAATAGGGCTTCCAAGAAGCCCCACTCAAACCATCCTAGTTTCAAGGAACCCTCACAAATCAAATGGGAAACTTGGGGTCTTAATAGTTTGGAGAGAGAACAAAATCTTTGTGTATATGGATTGATGGTAGAAGATTTGTAAATTTATTGCTAAGTGTTAGAGGTTTGAATACAATCTACCCCTCAAAGCTCATTTAAAAGACCGCTATGATATGACTGATTACTTTATATCGTTAGATGTTGTTATTAGGAGTATTGTAACAGCGCAAGCCCACTGCTAGTCGGTATTATCTGTTTTGACTTGTTACATATCGCCTAGTGTACTAGGGAGAGGTTTCCACACCCTTGTAAGAAATGCTTCGTTTTGCTCTCCAACCGACGTGGAATCTCACAATCCACCCCCCTTGAGGGCCAGCATCCTCACTGTCACACCATCTGATGTCTGACTCTGATACTATCTGTAACGGGCCAAAGCGGACAATATCTGCTAGCGGTGGACGTAGGCAAAGTTACAAGTATGCATATTTTTGAATTCTAATTGAACAGTTACTAAAAGATGATCGTATTGTACCAGTCTCGTTGAATAACTTTTCTTATCCAATCTCGTTGTTGAGGTTGAGATTTGAATATAATCCCCACCTCGCCTATTGTTTAAACTAAAGAAATATATAATTGATGATCAATTCTCTCATTTTTCTGTATGAGAAATAAATGCATGTTATCCATCTTCAAAAATATGTTAGCCAACTGACACTCCTACCTACCTAAACTGTTAGGTTTCAATCCATCAAATACAAGTAAATTTAACCTAAAAACTCGAACAATTCCTTCGATAACTCATTTGTCAAGCACTTCTATCAATTGAAAGATCCAAGAAAAAACCCAAATTATTTAAAAATAAAATGCTATTATAGGGAGGAAGATTCAATAATATGATCATCCCTAAGTCATTTTCCCTTTGTCTATATCAGAGAGTCCCCAATAAGTTGAGTCAATGCATCAGCTGGCACTAGTCAGAAGCCCATGGCAAGTATGAGGCAAAGTGGCAAAGCTGTAAAGAAAACAAACCCCTTTTCCTTTCCTTAAATAACAAGAGATGCTCATATTTCTTTATGCATTTCACAATCTCCACTTAAACCTAAAACTTTAGCTAGATTTCCTCTCAATTTTCTTGGGTTCCCAAAAAGAAAACTTTTTTATTACTATACAAACTCTTTACTAATCTCCAAACACGCTACGTCGGAGTTCGATCCTCGGGTCCTCAGGTCCTCGAGTTTCGTTAAGAATATATGTTTCAATCCATCGAGTCATATTTAGGGTTAAGAAGATCGAACTATCAACTTTTTAGATGGTAAATTACGTTTTATCCACTAAGCATAAGCTATATTCCGATAAGCATAAACGGGTGGTGTTAAATATTCAATTTGTATAATGGAAGGGCTTTCTTAGGGGTTGTAGTCCTGGCGTGACAATATTCAATTTGCATTGCCCTTTTTGGACCACTTAATGTCTCTCTCTTATGGTCTTGTTTTTGCTTTTGTTTTTATTCATTTACATAATTTAAGTCTAAAATTTAATGAAAACCCTAAAAAGAAAAAGAAAAAGAAAAAAAAAGGGAATTTTTTTAAACAAAATTATCCAAGATTGTTCTTTTCTTTGTTTTTTTGGTGTATATATATTCCCTTATCCCTTCATCTTCCATCTATCCTTCTTCATCAACAAAAAAAGCTGCAAACTTTGGCTCTCTTTTTGCCCTAATTTTTGTTTGGTTCACTGTTGTCGTGCGCTTATATCAGTTCAAGCTGCCAGCATGATCTAACCTTAATCTCTGCTAATTATGTTCGAGATTCAAGATCAGATCATATGGCAGCTTCACCTGTTGTTGGCTGCACGAAGAACTTAGCCCTAAACACAAAACCCTAATCACCTTTTTTCCTTAACAATTTCTTCATTCTCACCCGTTTTCCATGCATAATTCCTAAAAAAGGTACGAAGTTTTTGTTCATTCTCTTTAATTCTCATCTGGGTTTCTTAGATTTGCTTCTGGGTTGCTTTCTTTTTTGTTTTTTCATGCTTCCCCAATCGTGAAGCACCTCAATTTTTTTAGGGTTTCGAAAAAAGATTGAATTTTTATGTCTTGGAGCGTGTTTTTCTTGATGGGTTTTGCTTGATTTCCTTATTCAAATAAGAATTCAAGAGTATCTATTTATGATTCTTAAAAAAAAATGGGTTTTTTTATGAAGCAGCCATTTCTTTTTTTCACGGAATTCTCAAACAAATCTCTTATTGTTGGGAATTTCAAGAGTGACTCAGAGTGATTATGGCATTACATATTGAATGAGAGAGAGAAATTAATTAGAAGAAACGAAACATATAGAAAATTTGTAAGCATGTGAGTTCTTTTTCTTCGTACTTTCTTCACTGTTGTTGGCTTACCAGATTGTCTTGTCTGAGAGGAAATGACTCAGAGAAGTGAATACGATAACGATATTTCAAAACAAATTTGAAGCCATTTGAAGCCATTTTCAGACATTTTCTCTTGCTTGTCATTCAATGGTTATTCTTGGTTTTTTGTTTTTGTTTGTTGTGCTTTAATGTTGCAGGCATTTCTTGGGGTCAATTGCGAGCTCCATCTTTGGTATGTGTGTCCAGTGGCCGAGTAGCAAAGTTAAAAGATAAGGCAATTGTCTTTTTGTTCCTCTTAAATCTTAAAAGTTCTTCACTCTTTGCTCTACTTTGAGTTTCTATTTTTTAGATTATGATACTCGAAACTCGTGTTGTGTGGTTTAAGTCGTGATATTATAATCTCGATTAAGAGTTTTGAAGCTTTGATCTTTGTATCGTTAGTACATGTGAGCAATGGAAGATTTCTGATTTTTTTTGTGCGTTTGTGTTTTATAGATTTAGGAAACCCCGTTCATCTCAAAGTGATTGTTTAAGGCTAAGATGTTATAATTTCAATCAAGAGATTCAAGTTTCTGTTGATGTCCCGTACGTGTTTGGTTTAATTACATAAAGTTACAAAATTTTGTTTCTGACTCTGTTTTTGTACAAGTTCGTGTTTTCGAATTTCTAAAACGTTTAAGATCTGAGACATTATAATATTGATAAAGAATTCAAGAATTCAAGTAGTTTGGATCTCAATGAGTTCATTTCTTATGTTTGTTTGCCCGTAACAAATAAGTAAGCTTATAGATGTTTCTTAGATTCTCATTAGACTTTTCCTTTTCCTTTGAATATCATCACGACTCTTGACGTTATGTGCTTTTTTTTTAGGGTAAAAAGGTTATAGAAAATATTTTAAGCCAATGTTCGAGTAGTTGGTGCTACAATACTAGAAAAAGCTCGAACGATCATGGTTGGATGGTTAGTTAACTCGTATGATGCGCTAATTGTTTGAATGTTCTTTTAATGAATCTACAAAACCCTTTCGATACAATCGAATAGGAAGTTCGAAGGGCATCAAACCTTTTAAATTCGTTCTTAATGATATTTTCAACTAAACCGTCCATAAATTTTAAAGTTGGTCTATTTTGTCCCTAGATTACAAAAGCTTTTGAATCATTCAAATTTTATGTCTAATAAAGTTTAAACGAGCCGGAAACTCTATCCTCAAAACAAATTTTCAAATCCACAATTTAATCTTTGAGTACTTAGTACTTCGACTTCTCTTTGTTGCTTAGATTCTTGAAGACGTCCAAACTCGTTAAGACAACAATCGAGATCACGTAGAGTAGAAGATGATCCCCTGCATCCCCTGTGTGCCTCGATATTCCCCTACAACATGGTTTACGTTGCTTACTCCTCGCTTCTAAGAGTGAGGATTAATCCTCGCAGATCAACACGAGTCATTCTAGTATGCTAAAAAAAATTTCAGGAAATCAGCAACATAGAATTATTATGAAGTTCTTATAATTGAGCCACTGGAAATGAACGTGCACCTTGTTGTATAGAGGATGACTTTCGATTCTTTTAAGTTTTTTAGCCATTTTATTCTCGAAATTGTTTTTATTCAAATGTGGTATCAGTTCATTCATATACTAAAGGAGTAACACCCGCTCTATAACCACGAACACGCCCATGTTTCTCTAG